GCAACAATACATTTAATATGATTAAATACCAACGTCTGCCTATCCTAGGTCTTTGGGAAAGACTCAACAGATGAACAAAAATGTCAAATCCATCTGTCTGACTGTGCAACCCACAAGAATAAGAATATGAATACATCTAAAGAGAGAGAAAACTGCTAAAGGCAAAGTTGAACAGTTGAAACTATCCATTAAATTATCAATACTTGGGCTCAGTGGTGGTATTCAGCCAGTTCTATCCGGTTCAGGAGAACCGGTAGCGGCGGCTGCAGGAGGCTCCGCCCCCCCGCCTGGACATCATCATATCCTGTTTTGGACATCATCATATCCTGTTTTGATGCACTGCGCGTGCACTGAAGGCCCTGCGAGCAGAGGGAGCAAGCATGCGTGCGTGCTCACATTTGCAAACTGGTAGCAAAGGTAAGTGAATACCAACTCTGCTTGGGCTCTACCTGTGATACAATACATGGCTAGAATTACAGTATTAACTGGACAAAACTGAACTGGACAATTGGACCAAAAAAGAAAGAAGGAAACTCATGATTATTCACTATACATGGTATCCCCATAGTGTTATTGATAGATTATAGAAATCCATATAGGAAGGAGGCAGAGGTTTACTCTTGAGGAAAAGAAGCATGCATTGGCTGAGTAAAAGACAGACAAGAACAAGCATTGATGTAAGTTAAAAATAGGAATTTACTGAATGTAAAGAAAACAGATCACGAATATCAAAATAATGTAATAAAACCATAAACAGAATGCTGGCAAGAAAAAGAATTAGATGATCAATTTCTACAAAAGATCGAGAGAAAAATGGATAAAGGTAAAAACCTATCAATGGCTTATGTTCCAATTATAATTTGAACATTAAAAGAAGAAACTGAAGGCTTGATTTTGGCTGCACAAGAACAAGTTATTTGAACCAAAGCAATCAAGGCCAGAATTGAAAAATCATCAAATGATTCAAAGGGCAGATTATACAAAGAAGCAGAGGAAACAGTAGATCATATATTTAGCTTGTGCAATAAGATTGCACAAGCTGATTATAAACAATGACATAACACAATGACCAAAATGATTCACTGGAACATCTATAATAACAATCCTGTGGCAGGAATGAAAAATCAGTGGGAACATAGAATTGGAAAAAATAGTAAAAAATGAGCAGGTTAAAATATTGTGGGATTTCTGAATTCAAACTGATACATCTTGGCTCATAACACACCAGATTTAACCATGGTTGGGAAAAAAAAGTGATAATTAATGTGGGAATACCAGGGGATAGTAGGATAGAAGAGTTGGAGAAGACCATGAAGTGTCAATATCTGAAGAGTGAAGTTGAAAGTTCATGGCATAAATGGGCCATAATGGTCCCAGTAGTTATCATCACACAGGGTACCATACCAAAAAAATCTTGAAGAGCACGTAGAAAATCTGCAATTGACAAAATTTCCAACTGTCAATTACAAAAGGCCACACTGCTTGGAGTGCATATATATACTACGCCAGGGGTGAAATTTACTTACCTTCGCTACCATTCACAAATGTGAGCGCATTCGCCTCCTCCACACATGTGCAGAGCCTTCTTTGCATGCGCAGAGGGTCAAAAATGGGATGTGATGACGTCTGGGCAGGTGGGCAGAGCCTCCCACCACTGGCGCTACCGGTTTGCCCGAGCCGGACAGAACCGGCTCAATTTCACCACTGTACTATGCTGATATATGATGACATCCTAGGTTCTTGAGAAGAACTCAGTGCCAACTCTAGCTAAAGAATTGGCATCTATGATTTTACATTGTTGTGTACATAATAATAAATCACACCAGGCTCCAGATACTTAATATTCTTCTTTGTAACTTGTCACTATAGGACACATACTTATTGGCACTATGAAAGATGGCTTTCTCAATTTTCATTATTGATCTCTGAAGTTTGCTGATAACTGAGGCTAAGCTAGCTCTATCTAAGATGCCCTTCAGAGCTGGCAAAGACCATTTTATTCAGACAGAGGTTTTGTTTTGTTTTTTCATTTCGAGCTGATTTAACCTGCACATGCTGTTTCTTTTTTCTTTTTAATTAAGCTACACTATCTTTAGTTTTATGTTTTAATATTGTTCTGCATTTTAACTATATCTTTTTATACTGTATGCTAATTTATTTGAATGCTATTTTGCATGGAAAGGCAATACAGTATATAAAAGTAAAGAGTAAATTAACTATATTTATTCCCACATTTTGCATCCTTCCTAAACCTACCTTAGAAACTTTAAAGCACCTAAATAATATGTAACAGAAATATTCATATGCTTCAGAATACTTCAACAATGATTCTTAACTGCTTAGGCAACACAGTTCCTAGTACTACAATTTAATATAATTGCACTTGGGAAAAAAAGCTTATTAAAAAAGCAAAAGGATATCCTGTATCAATAAGCATGTACTGTATATAAACACACACATAAAATCACACATCCGTCTTTTTTTCTTTTTCATTGCTGTACCCTCTAGTCTTGACCCACTCAAATTTGGCCACAACTATAAAAATATAGTTATATCAAAAGAGTTCTCAAATGCCTTTGAGACATCTGAAAAGTAAACTTTATTCTATATCCTGATTTTTCTCTAAATAATATTTGGCAACTTTTAAGACACGTGGACTTCAACTCCCAGAATTCCCTAACATGCATTTTAAAGTCTCCAAGGTTGAGAAACACTGATATTATTTTCCTAAAACTGAACAGACTCTACCTCTTATTTAAATGGCATTGCCGCATAGAATAAAATAACCATCCCAGTAAGAGAACAAATGTTACCTAAATAGGGAATAAAGAAACCTAAAGCTATTAATTTAGGGCTGACCTTCAGCCCCATGTTCAGGGTCACTGAGCAGTGAATAAGAGATGCTGAGGGGAAAGGCAGCACTCTGTGGAGCAGGCATTTTTTTCCCAAATAAATCCAGTGCAATGTTTATTTGCCAAAACATTTTAAATATTAAGACTGACCTTTCTATTTGCAATTTCATAGTTCTGTCATTTCTGTCAGGGTCTAGCTTTTCTTATTCAAATATACTTTTAAAACACCTTAATTAAAGGTGCTGAACGGATAGAAGTATTTGAAATATACATTTGATATTTCAAGTTATCGTTTAGAGAGCATGAATGGAACTCTGTTATAATTGCAGTACGCTGGCTTTTACAGCTGGACTCTCAGCTCACTAAAAATCATGAGGGGCTTTTTAGTTGTTCGTCTTAGCATTTGTCTTGATACTTTGCAGGGCCTGCTTGTTCTGCATTGCACTTGCCTAATTCTTACAGTAAAGCTTATCAATGCATGATGCAGCAAGGGCAGGGGAGAGGTTGTCCCTCGCTTGTCCCCGAGCCTGATGATGATTAGGGCTGAAAGAAAGTGACTGGCCCAAGGTCACCCAGATGGCTTCTGTGCCTAAAGAAAGACTAGAAACTAGGTCTCCCCGCATCTAATTCAGCACATTATCACCAACACAGGGTAGCTCTCATAATTTTGTTTTTCTTCTGTAGAGACACTTTCGTTTTAAAGGGACAAGGCATATTACAATACAATCTGTTTGTTGGTTAATGCAGAGAAGGGCAACCTTTTGGTGATTGGAGCCTCATTTGCCACTTCTTGGGTAGTTAGCAGGATTTTGTTGATGATCTTCTTGGGGTGTTGTATGAAGTATGCTTTCTCTTCTGTTTTTTCCAGTGATGATCCTATTTTAGGGTCTACACTGTCCTGGCATCCAAACAACATCCAAACAACAACAACACTTTACAGTAATTGTGATCAGAAGCTGCTCTGGAAGCTGCACCAAACCAGGGTTCAGATCATAGACTGTCCAACTTTCACTAAATTAGTTAGTACTTTACAGGCCCACAAATCTGTTGTTTTTAAGAAGAAAAGATTACACATCCTTCTTTAAAATATTATTTTTAACGACTGAGCAAAAGACTTTCTGTCATTTTTAGGGCATTCCTCAACCTTTTTCTTCTATTTCTAGACAAAAAGCAGGCTCAAATAATAAAACATGTTTAGTAACTGAGGAGGCTAAGTGAATGTAAATCTCCACTCAGCCATTTTTCTCCCTAGGATTTAACAAGCATCAGTCATGGGGTGGGAGAAATACCACATATCCTGTCTGTTGTGTTTTACAAGTTTGAGCTGAAAAGTGTAGTAAATCAAGCATTGGGAGAAGAATTGCACAAACTGAATCATTAACAAGCAGGATTAATAACACATGAGATCTCAGAAGTGTTGCAGGATTTCTTCATGTCACAGCAAGTCTGTTGATTTTCCAAGTGCTCTTCAGACCTTTCAACTGTTCTGTCCACTCCACTTTTCCAACCTTTACTTTACTTTTTTCTTTCTTTCATTTGATACTTATTCTACTTCTACTGAATACATTCGGTGTGCCTCTCTAAGCTTCCATCCTCTTAGGCCTACCTATTTTTAAATGTGAAAGTCTGCCCTTACTTTTCTTTATCAACAGCCCTGTTATGGCTATCATCATCTATGAAAGTCAATTTTCATTATTAAATGAAGTGTAGAAAACATAGGAGAATGATAACATACAACATGTTCCTCAGTCTGAACAGCATATATTTAAAACTGAATTAAATCACTACGGAGTATAGGCAGCCATAAGTTCAATCAATCAATCAATCAATCAATCAATCAATCAATCAATAAGATTCACTTCAAAACCACAATTGTGCAAACAAGCTAAATTTATTCCTTTATTTATTTTTGGTATATAAATCGAGGAAGTCCTAACTTTTATTTCTCTTGGTTATAATGCTAGACATCAAAGGATTTAGAAGATTTCCCTGGCTGACAAATTCTGAGAGTTGAAATACACAGATCTTAAAGTTGTCAATTTTTTTAAAAAAAAACTGACTGATTTAGAGAATTAGGGCAGCACATCTAGCAGGGCTAAAAAAAAATAAGATATGCAACATACACAGCACATTATAGCCGTAACCTACCTCTGGAGCCATCCAAAATGGTGTCCCAACTGAAGTGTTTCTCCTCAGCCTGGTACTGGTGAGCTGTGCAGAAACACCTGTAATAAGAAAAGACATTCTGAACATTTGCTGGGTAGCTTGTTTACCTTTCCATACAATGCCTGGGAGAAAAATCAATGTCAATAGATTTGCAGGTTTTGCCACTAACTGGGGGAGAATTTGCAAGCTAGGCAAATTTAACTTAAATGTTTTTGGAGCTGGCCTGCTGCTTCATAGTTTAAGAATCACTTAAGGCACAAGAACTTGCTGTAATTCTGGGAGGAAATAAGGGCAAAAGAAAAAAAGGAAAAAATTCTGTGGAACACAGCCAATTTTTTTTTTTATCACTAAAGCTGTGCACGAAACTTTTATAACAGATTCTACAGCCTGAAAAGTTTAAAAGAATCCCACGTAGCTCAAGAAAATTTTTTACTTAAGGAACCCAATAAAAGTTCTTGTTGCCGCCCTCTTATTCTGTTCACATCCTATACTTTGGACATTTGGTATCAGCAGAGAACAGGTAATCCTTGACTTACAACAGTTCATTTAGTGACTACTCAAAGTTACAATGGCACCGGATAAAGTGACCTCTGACCGTTTTTCACACTTATGACCATTGCAGCATCCCCATGGTCACATGATCAAAAGTCAGATGCTTGGCAACTGACTCAAATTTATGACGGTTGCAGTGTTCCAGGGTCTTGTGAACACTTTTTGTAACCTTCTGATAACCAAAGTCAATGGGGAACCCAGATTCACTTAACAACCATGTTACTAACTTAACAACCGCAATGATTCATTTAACAACTGTGGCAAGAAAGGTCATAAAATGGAGCAAAACTCACTTAATAAATGTCTCACTTAGCAACAGAAATGTTGGGCTCAATTGTGGTCATAAGTTGAGTATTGCAACCATGGAGGTCACAGTTTCCCCAGGAAATTGGAGAAGATCTAGATTCATCCATTAAAAAGCAATAACTGAGAGAATGCAGGTGATGTGGCAACCACTTATAGAATGGTTTTGACTGAATGTTTATATTTTCTGTAATTCTCACACATCTTCCATGTGAAGATTCTGCAATAGTTCAAAAGCAACCCCAGGCTTCTATGATCCTGTGACATTGACTCAGTTCAGTAGCTGAACCAAATTTATTTCTGGCTCAGCTTCAGTGAAGCCCAAATTGGGTTTTTAAAAAACACACACACACACCACAGCAGCATATTCTTTGATTTGCGAAATAAATCCCTGCAGAGCAGATCTTGTGCTTGGTTAGCAGCCCTATTGAAGTTCTTGCTCACTTCTTCTCTAGGCTCCTGAGTTTCAGCTTTTCTACCAGATCTTTCCCGTGGGATGCTGCCTTGATCTAGCCAAGAGTATTCACTTGCTTTCCCCCCACCCCTTCTCTTATGTAAAAAATTGCTGCAGGCTGCTTGGATTTTTAAATCCTTTTTCTTTCTCTTTTGTCTGAAGTTGGGGATGAGTCGACCCGGTTACTGCAGTGAATTAGATAACAGCGGGATTGTGCAAATGTCCTTGCGATGCATTCAAGTCCTTCTAGCCTAAAAAGTAGCCTAAAAGAAGTTAGACTTCTCTCTTCCATTTAAGCCCCAATGCAGGAACAACCTAGTGCCTAGCTATAAAATTGATGGCATATCATGTGTCTCCTTAACAACTTTCAAAGGGATCTTCATTACAGGAGGAATGATGGCTTGATACCTGATAATCAGGCAGCTTCATCTTAGTTTTACTGAAGAGGTGTGCCTTTCATTTCCTTTCGGTACTTTGGTCATCATGATATAAAAAAGATGTTGAGACTCTGGAAAGAGTGCATAGAAGAGCAGCAAAGATGATTGGGGGGGGTGAAGGCTAAAACATATGAAGAACAGTTGCAGGAATTGGATATGTCCAGTTTAGTGAGAAGAAGATAGCAGTGTTTCAATATTTGAGGGGCAGCCTTAAAGAAGAAGGGGCGGGGGGGTGTGTCAACCTATTTTCCAAAGCACCAGAAGGCAAGGCAAGAAGCAATGGATGAAAACTGAACAAAGAGAAAAGCAACCTAGAACTAAAGAGAAATTTCCTGACAAGTAAGAACAATCAACCAATGGAACAATTTGCCTTCAAAAGTTGTGGGTGCTCCAACAGTGGAGGTTTTTAAGAAGGGACTGGACAACCATTGTCTAAAATGGTATCATGTCTCCTGTTTGAGTAAGGCAGTGTTTCCCAAACTTGGCTATTTTAAGATGCATGGACTTCAACTCCCAGAATTCCCCAGCCAGTATGCCTAGTTGAGGAATTCTGGGAGTTGAAGTCCATACATCTTCAAAGGGTCAAGTTTGGGAAACACTGGAGTAAGGGATTGGAATAGAAGACCTCCAAGGTGCCTTCCAACTCTTGTTATTCTGTTATTCTTTCTTTGTGTGTAAAAGGAAGGGGATTTTTTTTTTAGAAAAAAATATCCAATGTGTGTACAGTACTGTACTTGCCTCACTAGTAGATACTGTTGATACTCACTAGTAGATACATTGGACAATGTTTTTGACAGATTCCTATTGCTCAGTTGAAAGAGAGGAATGATTGGCTTGCTGGTTCATCACCATTCCAAGGTCAGTAGGAGTGAAGATGATTGGCAGATCAATTTCAAATTCTGCTGGAGGAATTTGAAAGTGATTTTCTCTCATTTACCCTTGGTTAGTTGGTTTTTTAAATGGCTATGTGTTTTGTTGTGTACTAATAAAATTCATATTACATGTTCCAAACATTTCTCTATGGATAGAGGTTACTGTGCATGAGGTTTAAAAAAAAACAGACTTAAACTATTTTCCCCCAGTTTTGAAAGAAGGCACTAGAAGATTTCAGAACTTTTCAGCAAACCACAAATCCCCAGATCTTCTGACAAAAACTGAGAAGAGGAAAATAGATCGGATCAGTTTTGCTCTATTTATACACACCACACATCAGTGGTGAAATCCAAATTTCTTTACTACCGGTTCTGTGGGCATGGCTTGGTGGGCATGGTGTGGTGTGGCTTGGTGGGCGTGACAGGGGAAGGATATGGCAAAACCCCCATTCCCTCCCCACTCCTGGGGGAAGGATATTGCAAAATCTCCATTCCCACCCCACTCTGGGGCCAGCCAGAGTGGTATTTGCCAATTCTAAGAACTGCTCAAAATTTCTGCTACCAGTTCTCCCAAACCTCTCAGAACCTGCTGGATTTCACCCCTGCCACACATACACGCTGAAATCTAAAAGACCACTGGTTTTAGATGTGGACTTAACTGATAGTTGTACAATGAATATTGCATTTAATTCCAATTTAAGCACAGGTTTCGCAAAGCACACAAATTTCATTTTAGGAAATAAATGACTATTTGTACAGTTGAAGTGCTATAAATATATACCATATACACACACACACCAGGCAGTAACCCCTCCCAACCCCATGACTCCTTTTATACACCTCCTCTCTTTGAATAAAGTATAGCTAATTTCACAAATACCTTCCCACTCTTGCTTCATTTTGATCTTGTGTTCCTCTGTGGGAGTGCAACAAGGCAATTATGTGCAAAAAACAGAAAAAAACTTAACTCTACCAATGTTATTCTCTTTCTAGCTTCTTTTTTTTTCTGACCCACACTGTTTCTTTTGGCATTGATGCCAATTTCCTGCAACTCACTCTAGCAGCTAGTGCTAATTATTACCCTAGGAAAGTGGCATCAGATGAATAGAGATTTCTACCCATTTGCTATTGAAGAGGTTAGTAATGAAGTTGTTGTTGTTTTAGTCCAAATGGCTTGTCCAACTTCTACTTAAAATGGAGCATTTTGAGTTCACATTGATAAAGAATTTCTGGCATCCAGGTCACAAGTGGCATCTGTTCTTGACCCAAAGGTGCTTTTTCAGGAGGCAACTGGACTTTCTTGTTTTTCTTTTTGAAGACATTTCACTTCTCATCTTCAGAAGCTTCTTGGATGAGAAGTGAAACGTCTTCAAAAAGAAAAACAAGAAAGCCCAGTTGCCTCCTGAAAAAGCACCTTTGGGACAACCATGACCTGGATGACTGAGAATCTCTACAGACATCTGTTCTTGAGTTCATTTGGCTTTGTGGTACCAGGGAATTAATAAGTCATGATGGAATGTGATGGATTTATTCAAGTTGCAAGCTAACTTTTGCAACTTTATCCTTTCCATGCAAGTTTAGTCCAACTTCTTCCCAATGACACTGAAAGAAGATGACAGCCTTATTTTTGTTACAGTGATATTGGCTTTAATCTGTGATTCCTTTTTCAATTATTTGACTTTATAAAATATTTGACTTTATTAAAAAAAAATCAACAAATTTTCTTGGAAATAAAGTCACCAGCTTCTTTTATCTGGCTTTATATAATGGCTTTTCAATTTTAATCACACTCAAATATAACTGTTGTACTTGCAAATTTAAATGAAATGTTAGTTTTTAGGCCCATTTTAGTTTTCAGCTAAGAGGGAATAAATGTGATGAAGGCTAATTGAGAGGAATATCCTTTTTTTCATATGCACAAAACAATGTTTATTCTCTGAACTAGGAGGAAGGAAGGAAGGAAGGAAGGAAGGAAGGAAGGAAGGAAGGAAGGAAGGAAGGAAGGAAGGAAGGAAGGATTACCAAAGTCAACAAGCTTGACTCCTCCTTCCGTTGTCAGAAGAATGTTGTTCCCCTTGACATCACGATGAATGATGCGATTGTTGTGCAAATGTTGAAGACCCTAAGTGTCCGTAATGAAAAAAAAAGGAGAGAAAAAATAGTTTTTACTCATATACTTATATAATGTCCCTAACAGGAAAAAAAATCTGTACCCGCACTGTAGGAACTTCTGTCTACTATATCACAGTCTCAATACAATCACCCGCTGCAGTAAACAGATAACAATTTTTCCCCTTTTACCTGGACGGTGTATCAGAATGGCTAAATTGCATCCTATTTTGTCATTAGAAGCAAAATGGGTATCCTTACCAGAAGGGCACCTCTTAAGATGTATGAGATTATTGCTTCATCCAACTTTTGGCCACTCTTCAGTAGGCCTTTGACAAGTTCTGTGACTGAGCCTCCATTACACAGCTGTTAAGGGGACAGGAGAGGAACAAGGGAAATGAAACAAGGCATCCGTTACTCAACAAGCATGCTTAGATCATAATCCCTACAGATGGGCAACTACTTGTACAGAAAACACAGTAAAGGAAATCAGTCATTACAAATGTTCACAGCAGCTATTTCCAAATAATAGCCATGATCTAGACACTTTTGGATATCCAGAATGACATCTTTATTGTGAAGGCAAACAAATGTGCTAATTACATTTTCTTGCATGGACAAGAAGGGAAATTAAACCTGTGTTTACTTTTAGGCAAGTTTTCTCCAAACCGGTGGGATATATTAGGTATATTGGACTACAATTCCCCTTATTTTACTTAAAGCTAGGGAAGCTGTGCCAGTGACTGGAGAAGGCAGTTCTATGCCTTGCCCAGTCATCACAATTCAAAGTGAGTCTTAGTACAGAAGCTCCAATAAGCTGCAAGGATATAAAGTAATTAGTAGAACTCTCTCATAAAGTTTTCTAGCTAAATATATTCATATTGATATTTCAAAAATGTGTTTTTTTCCATTCATTCCTTTGCAATTATCTTGGATTAGTGGATATTTTTGTGATCTGCTGACAGGCCTGAATCTAAAATAAAAGAAATAAAAACATTGACAATAAAAAAAATCTAGGAAACATAGGACTATAGTAGACTAAGCCCATCTAGTTCAGTATTGTCTACCTTAACTCATATGACTGTAAGGCCACAAGCAAAGATTTTAGTTTTCTTCTATTTACTGGTGATAAATATGTGGTGGCGCAGTGTTAGAATGCAGTATTGCAGGCTGATTCTGCCCACACAACAGGAGTTCGATCCTGAGTAGCTCAGGGTTGACTCAGGCTTCCATCCTTCCGAGGTCAGTAAAAGGAGGACCCAAATTGTTGGGGGCAATATGCTAACATTGTAAAGTGCTCAGAGAGTGTTGAAAAACACTATGAAGTGGTATGTAAGTGCTATTGCTAAAGCTATTGCTACTTTCCCTTAGCTGAAGATACCAGTGGTTGAACCCAAGATATTCTGCATGTACTTTCCAAAATTAGTTCAGGGTGTTTTTTTTAGTAGTTGTTCTTTATTTTCAACAGTTTAAAAACCTGTCAGATCTGTACAGTCACAATAGCCAGCATTGTCTTTATGAACCTGTGTCTTTCAAAACTCTTTTGATGCGAAAGAAAGCGCAGGAGTTTTCTGTTTTTACTGTTCTATATGTGATACATTTGATAACTGGGGAGCAGCAAATTACAGTCATTTGAAATGTTCGCTCTATCAATGCTCCTGTTAGCAGGCAGCATAAGATAGACAACATGCATATCTCTCTACGCTCAGCCTTGATGTCTGTTCTGCCAACAGCTAAGAAAAAACTTTCAGATCCAGAAAAGCACAGCCTTTTGCAAACATGTTCACATTACTTGCATGCCATGTTTTTAAAAGAACAGAAAGGGGAAAAAGAGAGATTAAAACCTTTCTAAATGTACTTTTCTATATCATTAATCACCCATGTCACTCCCACAACGATATTTTTATCCACAATCTATTCTGTTTTTCTGCATTCTATTCACTAGAAGCATACTAGTGGTAGAAAGTGCCAATGCCCTAAGCCAGGATTATACAACTTCTCTCCACTTGATAGCCTTCTTGAAGTGGCAGGGCCCACGTTCAATGTAGGTAAATTTATATGGAGATTCTCAGTAATCCAGGTCATGGTTGTCCCAAAGGGGCTTTTTCAAGAGACAATGGGACTTTCTGGTTTTTCTTTGAAGACATTTCACTTCTCATCCGAGAAGCTTCTTCAACTATAAAACGGAATCACTTACCAAGATTTGTATTGCTTAAAGACTAGAGCAGGTGAATGCCACAAAATAGCCCATGTACTTTTTTAATAGAAAAAGTTGTATATCATGCATCCTTTTCAAACCCATTCTCAAGAAAAAACAAAAATGATGACAACCCAGCCCTTTGTATTATTGTTAACTCTACTGGTCTTTTTTCCCTCTGAAACGCTCCCTCTGAACCAGGGGTGGGTTCTACTTACCTTTACTACCAGTTCACATCGCTTGTGCACGCTTCTGCACATGCACAAAAGCTTCTGTGTGTGCGCAGATCACCTATGATGACGTCCGGGTTAGTGGGTGGAACCTCAAATCAGTTTTACTACCAATTCTTGTGAACCAGTCTGAACCAGGGGCAACCCACCACTGGTGTGACCCCTAGGCACCAAAACAATACAGGTAGTCCTCGATTTACGACCACAATTGAGCCCAAAATGTATGTTGCTGAGACATTTGTTAAGTGAGTTTTGCCCCATTTTACGGCCTTTCTTGCCACAGTTGTTAAGTGAATCTGGCTTCCCCATTGACTTGGCTTGTCAGAAAGTCACATAGGGGGAATAACATGACCCTAGGACACAGCAAGGGTTGTAAGTATGAACCAGTTGCCAAACAGCTGAATTTTGATCATGTGACCATGGGGATGCTGCAATGGTCATAAGGTGAAAAATGGTCATAAGTCACATTTTTCAGTGCTTTGAACAGTCACTAAATGAACTGTTGAGGACTACCTGTATCTACCTTGATTTTAGACCATGAAAGTTGCCTATTCTAAAAGGAGGAACATTTCTTCACAGCAGGACAAAAGATCATTAGCTATAAAGCGGATGTTGACTCATATACTGTATACAAATTTAGGAAAGGACAAGCATAGCATAATAGAAGTCAGAGAAGGGGAGGGGTCAAAACGATCTACAGTATTTGTAAAAAGGTGGAATTATGTCACTGGAATATGGTTCAAGATATTATCAAGCTGGGACAAGGGTTGATATGTGCATATATGTACATATAATCAGGCAAATGCCATGACTTACATACCTGCCTCATATTGACATAAATATGTAATTGTGGCCTTTGGGTGAGTATGTCATGGCCTGTGTTATTTAATATTATCACATTTATTAACTTCATTTTTATTGTGACTGCTGCTTTTTTTAATAAGTATAATGCTACTTTGGCTTTTACTTTTATTTGTAACTAGAAGATAAATTATTTTCATTTACGACTTGCAGTTTTGTTTTGTTTTGTTTTGTTTTGTTTTGTTTTGTTTTGTTTTGCCATAGTAGTTGATAATAGTCAGCTTTGTCTCACCTCAAAAAACAGTAAATGGTTATTATTGGAAGGAAGACAAGCAGGAAACTCCAGGGTTACAAAATGAAAAGAGCAACTCAGGAGAAGGGAGTAGCAAATAGAGGTGCCCTTCTTAATTGACCAAGAGTCAGACCCAGTTTGAGGGACATTTTCTTCTGACTTCTATCTAGTTTGGGTTTGTCCTCCTAATTCAGGGGTCAGCAACCTGTGGCTCTGGAGCTGCATGTGGCTCTTTCATCCCTCTGCTGTGGCTCCCTGTTGCTGGTCGGCTCCACAATTGATAGGGCTTCCTGTTAGGGCAGGTAGAGGAAAAAGGACGCCATACTAGGAGGAGACTCTATGGTGGGGGAACTGGACTTCTAGTCAGCAGAGGAAAAAGGATGCCACAGTAGTAGTCTCTATGGTGGGGGAACTGGACTTCCGGTCTGTTCCAGAACTGAATGGGGGGCTTCCGGTTAGGACCTTTGTGGCTCTTTGAGTTTTTAAGGTTGCCAACCCCTGTCCTAACTGAAATAGAATTCTAGGAGTTTAGTTGGGGAGCACTTAATACTTGTGTGAGCTTTCACCATCCTGGTTTCTTCCAAATGTGTTGAAATGCATCCTCCACCAACCCCAGTTAGATTATGATTGGTTCATGCCGGCCAAAAAGAGATGGCAATTTCAGCCCAACTTTTCTCAAGGGCATAATGTTGCAGCAGTCTGGTTTAGCTAATAGGCCTTCAGTTATGATAGATCCAGGTGTTTAAAAAGACCAGGAGCGTGGAAAATATTGCTGGTGATTTATAATCCTGGCAGAATTATGATTCCCTGGGGACAATTAAGGACATTTATAGTGCAATTTTATCGGTGCCCATATAGGTTCATCTTATTAAGTTCACATTGGGAAAAAATATATGGTTTCACCAAAGAAAGCAATGAAAGCTTCATCTAAAAGGAATACAAATGGGAAAAATAACACTTGCTGCCCACAGATAACACTGCAAATCCTGATATACAGACTATTCAGCAAGGATAGCTATACTAACATTTTACATCTGATTCTCCAACAGGGCCCAATTATTTTTGCCTTCTGAAACATTCAGAAGACAATGCAACACAATATTCTGTTTGCTTCATTTTCAAAGCCAACTGAGATTTTAAAAAATGCCATTAGAAGAGATAATTCAGTACTTTCCCCTTTACAGTCTAAATTAGAAATGAGGAAATCTTAGTACTTTTAATAAAATTATTATTAAAGTTTATAATATCAAAAACTAATATAAACTAAAAAAAAGACAGAACAAAAGAAAGAGTAGAAGGTTCAGAAAAGAAATAAAAAAGAGAAATACAATAGAAAAAAAGAAAAGACATAGTAAAGAAAAGAAAAGAAATACATAAAAAGTGATTTCCCATCTTCATCACAAATATAAATAATTTTAATAACTTATCATCTCCCCTTAAATTACAGAAAATGATCTTTTCTAGTTATATCCCATCACTTATCTATAAGCAAATCCATAAAACATCATAATTTCAGTCCTGTTGTCAGCAAAAGTCGATTAAGGGTTACCAGAGATAACATCATTTTAAACCTTGATCAAATAAACCAATATTGTATTCCTTCCTTTTATTTCTAACAATCTTAATCTTTAGTCTAGTCCAGGGGTAGGCAATTGTGGCTCTTTTACAACCTGTGGACTTCAACTCCCAGAATTCCTGTCTCAGTAATTCTGGGAGTTGAAGTCCACAGGTTGTGAAAGAGCCACAATTGCCTACCCCTGGACTAGTAATATAATATCCTAAAACTTGATTTCTTTTCGTTTTTTTCTTTGTCCATTCTCTTGAGATTCTTCAAAATTTTAACAAGCCTCTTTTGTAAATCCAACATAAGAAAATTATCCAGATCGCTGTCTTGTCTGTATATCCTTTTCAATTATTAAATCATCATCTGGATTTATGTATCTAGTATAATATATATTTTTCCATATCATTCTTATATCTATCACTTGTAAATCTACATTCAATTCAGTCTCAATCTTGTTAGGTTAATTTGTTCTTCTTCCATAACGTATTTTAGACACAATCTCTCCATTGAGGCATGTGTCTCTTTTGACATTATTAACATTAATTTCTCACTCCATTTTTTTAAAAAATGTCCTTTAATATGTCCTATATTAGAATATTTTGTTTTATTCTATAATTGTAAATCAAGTTTGTGTTCTTCTCCTTTAATTGTTCCTGCTAGTGTCCAATTTTTAAAATGCCATGTTATGGGCTTCCCCCCCCCCCCAAAAAAAATCAAAATAAAAGCATTTTCCCATGGGAAGGATTCTTTATAATTAATTTATCTGAACCCTTAGTATATTTGTAACTTTTAAAAATGAAAGTTTTAATCACCTTTTTGCTGTTTATTCCAAGTTTATTCCAAACATCCTTCTAATAGGTAAAATGTTAACAAGCAATTTCCCCAAAAGTGATTAGTTAGGGAAGTATGCAAATCTATTGTCCTTTCAAAGATGCCAACCAAGATTTGAGCAAGGTGGCTATTCCTCCATCTCCCAAAGCTCTAAACCTGATGGAGACTATCTTGATGTCTCCAAGCAAGAAACAGCTTTCTGCAATGCTTTTGGGTGGTCTCAAGTCCTCTCCTTGTCCAGAGAGGTTTTGAAAGCTGGTCTACTCACTGACTCTTCATTCCAGCGTGATCATTGACTCCACTTTTTGTGGAGCCATCTTCAATCTGCCATTTCTTCTTCTGGAAATCCAGATTTTAGTTTTCGGTTCATTCAGCTGCTAAAAGGCTAACTATATAACAGAAAGATCACCTTCTTTTGCTGCATCTCTGAATTGTCAGGGAAAGTCAACGAAGATGCAACAAACCAAGGAGTGTACCATATTTCCTGGAGGAATGAAAAAGACTTGGCAATACTCTGTCACCTGTTCCACAGGGAGATGCTTCTGCAGCTGCCAGGTATCCAATCTTTCCTACAACTCAGGTCAAATTGAACATGGAAAGTAACCCAAAGCAACCACATGGGAGGGAATATACCTCCAACAACCTAAGTTGTTAGGCATATCCCAATTGCTGATCATTTCAGCCATCAGATAGTCAATGAAGCATGCCAGATTGTATTCATGATGAAAACTGTATTAGGAGAAGAGGGAAAGCATTTCTTTAAAACCAGAACAACTAAATATAAGCTGCCTCAGTTGTGGGCTAGGGATGAGAGAGAGGGACAATGTTAACAAGACATGGCAGAAAGAGGTTGTTTGTGGAATGAGAAAAAGTCGAGAACTTGACAAAGAAGAAATCCTTGATCTTTCAAACTGTACCCTGTTTTGATTTTTTTTAAATCCAATAACACTTCTTACAGTATTGCCTACATGTGAGCCACAAATAGCATTTCCAAACTCTGAGGACACATAATCCAGCTTTATTCTGAATTTTCTGCATGACTGTGTCCCCAACGCAATGCCATTTGAGATCAATTGCTTTATGTGTTTATTGAAAGATTCAATTATACTAGGAAAGAGCCATTTCTGCAGCAAGAACTCAGCAAGTCCAGAGTCAGGTCTTATTTAGTGCAAGTATATAGGGCCACGATAGAAACGAAGGTTGATTTAACTTATTTTGCAGGCAATATAATTACTGCCCTTCTTGTACAGGTAGTCCTCAACTTAGTGTGTTTAATAACCATCTGAATAACAACAGTGCTGAAAAAAGAGACATGACCATTTTTCACACTTATGACCATTGCAGCATCCCCATGCTCATGTGATCAAAATTCAGACGCCTAGCAACTGACTCATATTTATGACAGACATGTCCTGGGGCCACGTGATCATCTTTTGCAACCTTCTGCCAAGTAAAGTCAATGGGGAAGCCAGATTCACTTAACAAAGGTCACTTAACAAATTCTCACTTAGCAACAGAAATTTTGGGTTCAGTTGTGGTCGTAAGTCAAGGACTACTTGCATTTAATGAATCTGCCCTTAATTCATGTTAAAAGAATCAGTCTAACAGCCAATTCTGGAAAAACTTGGAAGGTCACATCCACGGCCTTGGAGCAAGCGGTGCGTGCATTGTGGTTCTTTCCTGCCAAACAAAGCCCCTTTGTGATTGAGTGAAAGACCATAACTTTCCCCAGCATAACAAACATGCATTTAGGCTTTTTTTCCACAACACAACACTTCTTCTCATTTAGATTTAGCAATACAAAATGTCTTACCTCAAGAACAAGCCAGAGCTGTCCACCTACATACCGATCTGCCTTGTAAAACATTCCATAAAATTTAACCACATTGGGATGGTTAGGAAGAAATTGTAAGATGTTATACTCTGCTTCAATCTCCTCGTCCATGTCCTAAATTGGAGACACACAGAATACCCACATCATAAGTATCACTAGGAAGAAAGAGCCCCCAAATTTGGTCCCACCAGCGATACTATCAGCTCTTCTGAAGATGACATGCGCAACTTTCCAGCAAACAACTCAAGGAAAGTTATAAAACTTCCTATGGTTTCAGGAGCATATTGCAAAATATTAAAATGTTGAGAGCTATTCAAGCAATAATAAAAACATGTTAGTTTGTGAGCAGTTTGGAGTATTAAAGTATTTAGACTGTATTGTTACAGACAAGTAATAGAGGGAAAGTCTGATTTAATTCTGCTTCTTTGTTCAACACAATTGTGTTTTACATTCCGTTATTTGGATTGCAATCACATTCTGCTAACTTTTAGTTGCCTTGAACTGCGAGATGGGCGGCATCCAAAGGAGCCTTGATGGTGCAGTGGACTAAAGTGCTGTTAAGTAGCACTTAGCTGCCAGCTGCCTGCAATTACTGCGAGTTCAAATCTCACCAGGCTCAAGGTTGACTCAGCCTTCCATCCTTCTGAGGTAGGTAAAATGAGGACCCGGATTGTGGGGGCAATAAGCTGACTTTGTATAAAAAAGAACACCGCTTAGGGGGGCCTCGAAAAGCCCTACTAAGCAGGTATATACAAAAGTATGAAGGCTGTTGCTTAAAGCATTGTAACCCACCCTGAGTCTCCGGAGAAGGGCAGCATATAAATCGAACCAATAAATAAATAAATAAATAAATAAATAAATAAATAAATAAATAAATAAAATTTAATAAATAAATAAAATAAACTTTTTACTTCCACAGAACCATTTTATGTTCTTCTTACAAATCTCCACTTGACTATCGGTTTTACACATATAGTGTCATTTTTTAAAGCGTGGTTACAAACCCGCCTTTATTTCAATCAAAGACCTTACTTCCAATATCTTACAAAGCTAAATAAAAATATTAAAATTATTTTCAAAAATTTGACCATCAAAATAACCACCCCAATTTAAACAGAATGTTATTTTCATTATATATGGAGCAAAAGTTCTTTCTGTAACACAATATATCTCAATAAATTGAGATAGGCTATGGTGTTTCCTTATAGGCATCTTTGAATGAAGCATGGCTCTTTATTGCAATACACCTGGAAAGCTGAGTGTCTTAGGTGTCCTCAGATAACCTTCCTTCCCTTTGCATTTGAGAAACGTATTTGAGTTTACAAAAGCAAAAAAAAAAGAGCAATATGATTTAGTTTTCAGAACCAAAACATTATCAAATTCCAAAATGCAAGCTCCATGGTTTGCACAGAATATGAGATTAGATCAGTGGACTCTCCAGCCTTGTACTTTTCCCATTGAACAGGATTGAATAGGTAAATGGGGAAAAAAAAGTTTTGAATTAATTTGGGATGCAACGCAATTTTGAAACAACTGCCTTGTTTTTTATCATCATGTGCACCACATAACTAAAGTTCACTTTCCAAGCGCTTTCATTTTATCTAATCAAAATAGAAGCTTCACAGCCTCTTGTGTATTCATAGTATAAAAAGCTTGTTAACTGTTTTTAAATTGGGCTCTTCACTCACATTAATAGGATCTAGAATCTTCACTGCTGCCAAACTGCCATCCTTCTTATTAGTAACCTTATAGACTTTACCATATGTTCCTTTTCCAATAGTCTCAATAATTTCCCAGGTATCTGTGGGATCAGGTAACGATTCCAGTCCAATCATATTCTGATTATACTGAAGCACGCCATAGAGTGGTTTCCTGGGAAAAATAGAATAAGAAAACAGTTGAATAGGTGTCATAGTTATAGGAAATCAGTTGATTCAGTGACTCACACGGCCAACTATCTTCGAGACCGCCTTCTGCCGCATAGCTCCCAGCGACCGGTAAGATCCTACAGAGTTTGTCTCCTCCGGGTCCCATCAGCTAAACAATGCCAGCTGGCGGGCCCGCGAGGGAGGGCCTTCTCTGTGGCTGCTCCAGCTCTCTGGAACCAATTACCTCCTGAGGTCCGGACCATCCCCACCCTATTGGCCTTCCGAAAAGCGGTGAAGACCTGGCTTTTCCGACAGGCCTGGGGCCGTTGATCTCGCTCTTGTGATCTGGCGAGATCCGGCCATGAATGGCGTGAATGAGTTTTTAATGCATTTATTTATTTATTTATTTATTTATTTATTTATTTATTTATTTATTAGTTTGATTTATATGCCGCCCTTCTCCGGAGACTCAGGATGGCTTACAATGCTTTTAAGCAATAGCCTTCATACTTTTGTATATACCTGCTTAGTAGGGCTTTTGGCCCCCTCTAAGCGGTGTTCTATTTTATACAAAGTCAGCTTATTGCCCCCGCAAACCGGGTCTTCATTTTACCTACCTCGGAAGGATGGAAGGCTGAGTCAACCTTGAGCCTGGTGAGAATTGAACTCGCAGTAATTGCAGGCAGCTGGCAGCTAAATACTACTTTAACAGTAGTTTAGTCCACTGCACCACCAGGCTCATAATAATGCTTTTAATGTTTTTAATTTTATCAATGTTTTTTACAATTATTTTTTAAATGTATTGTGAGCCGCCCTGAGTCTTCAGAGAGGGGTGGCATATAAATTTAATTAATTAAATTAAATTAAATTAAACTTTAGAAAGCAATATCTTGGTGGCTTATGATGGAGGCTTTCATAAAAAAATATTATCTGACTGTTTTGCCATATATGGCAGCAAATTGTAGTGACATCCACAGGAACAGTCATGCAATTTCCTGCAACCCTTACTAGGTTTTTGCTCATGGTGGCTTAGTCGAGGTGGGCTTTCATATAATACTTCTTCAGAAGATGGAGGAGATGGAGACTACGTACCAAGCTAGTTAACTAAGTGAGTTTTGGAACATTTTGCCCAATATGGCACACCTGTAACCAAAGCTCAGATTTTTCCCAAGTATATTTATACAGTTCTCTACAAATGTGGATCTTTAAACTAGAGCCTACTCTGCAAGCCAAAATATACTGATAGCATCCCACCAATGAGATATTATATGCCAGTGATGGCTAGCCTTTTCTGGACCGAGTGCCCAAAGCGTGTGTGCGCACGAACCCCCAAAATGCAATGCGCACATGGCCTCCACATATGCCCCACTCCCGTGCATGCAGGTATGGCCCCCCACATGCACCCACACACACATTTGCACACAGCCCCCCTGCATGCACCCCCACACATGCATGTGCGCCCCCCTGCACATCCCCCACCCACCGCGTATGCACGGCAGAGACCTGAAAACCAGCTGGCCGGCAGGAGGCATGTGCACATGTGCAGCAGAACTGAACTAGAGTGACAGCTCACGTGCCATCAGAATGAGCACTGCATCCCACCTCTGGCACGCGTGCCGTAGATTCGCCATCACAGTTATATGCAGTATACAAGACAACTTCAATGTGTTCAACAGTTTGACTTTTTTCCACCTTAAAACAGCTTGCTCAGATCTACAGCTTCCAGATACACAGAGGAACAGGACAGATAATTTCTACCGAAGATTTCTGACTTTCCCCTGAAAAATGATGCTGAAAAAAAGACAGACTCTTTCTTTATACTCTAAAAACTTCCAGCTGCCCATAGAAGTTGACCTAAATCAACCATGATGTTCTTTAAAGGTTGAAAAGAATGCCAGAACCCATTTTATCTTCAGTTACAGAGAAATTTAATCCCTTTCTTAAGAAAGATGAGGCCATAGATACCATTTGTTATTGCACAGATGCACTCTCTCTGCTCCAAGCATGCTGTGCAGAAAGAGAGCTAGTCAATCTCACATTCTTAATATTCCTAAGGATTAACCTGACAGTAGAGGTACATCTGTCAAATGAACAACGCATCCATAAAACATCCATAAAACAAAAAGGGTACGGCAAATTTTTACATTATCGCTCTGACGAAGGGGTGTATCTGACAATATTCAGTCCCAATTTTTGAAAATAAATGTATTTGCTAGATGGTATCCTACCAAATTTATATATCTGTTCCAGATTAAAGTGAAGAGAAAACAGAGGTGCATTTGAAAACATTCATCACAAGGACTGCTTCCTAGAGTAACCCTCATCCATTTTAGAAAAATGTATATGGTAACATTTATGGCTTATGGTATGAGACATTTCAGTTGAAATGATATTATGATCACCTACTTACTCTTCCTAATCTTCTTATGTCAAAGACATACTATGATTTTTTATAACTTAGTCATTAGCAATAAGAAGAAGAACAAGACTCAAAATAAAAATTGTAAACCACTCAGAACAGGGGTGTCACACTGGCAGCCCGCAGGCCGGATACATCACATGCAGGCCATGCCCACCCCAGCTCCGCGAAGGAAAAAACATTGTGATACGTCACGTGATGGCAACATGGCGTGGCGAATTTGATACCCGTGAGCCAGAGTAACTTAGCAGTGTAAAATTGAATAAATGTTAATAATCATAACAAATAAAAACACGATCAAACATCAATACCTGTGATGCACTGGTGATGTTACCTAGTTTGGGTAATGAAACTTCTACAAGAAAACAACCAAGCTCAGTGAGCATCAAGGACCCGCACATCAATATCTGCCTACTCTAGATCCTTTGGATAAAATGCAGGGGTGAAATCCAGCAGGTTCTGATAGGTTTTGGAGAACCGGTAGCGGAAATTTTGAGTAGTTCGGAGAACCGGCAAATACCACCTCTGGCTGGTCCCAGAATGGGGTGGGAATGGAGATTTTGCAATATCCTTTCCCTGGAGTGGAGTGGGAATGGAAATTTTGCAGTATCCTTCCCCTGGAGTGGGGTGGGAATGGAGATTTTGCAGTATCCTTCCCCTGCCACACCCACCAAGCCACGCCCACAGAACCGGTAGTAAAAAAAATTGGATTTCACCACTGATAAAATGCCAAATCCAGTCTAAACATCTGGCTGACTGTTCAATGCACCAAAATAATAATGTAATAGCCATAAGATTTTCAAAGGGTTGGGATCAGGAATGTCAATGGGGATTATTCCTCCAAGACCCACATAAAAAGAAAGAGGTCTGGTTCAGAATTTGAAATGATAAAGTTGCTCAATATTTTTCATTTAAGGTTGTAAAATTAATCAATTAATAATTCGAATAGGGTTTTTTTTTTTCCCCCAGTGTTTTGAGTTTCCCTAAACACAGCCATTTTATTGGACAACAGATAAAAAGAAAATCAAGAAAAAAATTACATCAACATAAGAAGCATTGAGGAGAAAACAGGAGGCCATAATGAATATTGTGCCCCTGAGCCTCTCACTGTCTTAAATAGACTGGTAGTAGTAGTTGCTTCATTTAAAAGTATTTTCCTCCAAGGAGTTCAAAATGATGTTAATGGCTCTCTTCTGTTCCCATTTTATCCTCACAATAATCCTGCAAATTCACTTAAGCAGAAAGATAGTAAGCGGAAATGAGCCATAAAAATTGACAACATACATAGGCCAAACCTAGGTCTTCTCAATCTTGAACTTGGATCATCTGGATACCCAGGATGGATGAGTTCAAACTGAGGGCTCATTTCTAGTTACAAATCTGTACTGGTGGCACATACTTGCAATTTTTGACACTCTTTCTAACATATTCTGTTCTTCTCAATCTCATTTTATTTCTCTGGCCTTGCAGCTTCATTTTCTTTCAATGCATTTGACACAATGACAGGGATGAGGAATGAGATTACATTGAGAAGCATCACAGATGCCACTAACAAGTGCCAATGACACACCTGAGTTTCCACAGCCAAACAACTTAAAGAGCTGTGTACCCATGAGACTGAAGATGACAAGGAGAAGGGGGAAAAAGCAAAGGAGAATGCCAGAAGAATACCAAAGATAAGAATGTAGCAGATGTGAGAAGAATAAAAGGGCACTGAAGAGTACAAAAACAAACAATATTCATGTGTAGTGATTTTTTAACTAATTGGTTTAATTAATAAATATAATATACTAATGTTGACAATAACCAGCAATAATATAAAATCAAAAGAAAAGTGCAGGGATGAAATGCTCCTGGTTCCAACCGGATCGCCAGATCCGGTAGTAATGGCGGTGGGTGATTCAGAGAACCGGTAGCAAAAATCCCTGCCCCCCCCATGCTCAGCTGAGCCACACGATCATCAGAGGCTTTTTTTTTTTACTTTTAAAAGCATTTTTTCTACAACCTCTTCAGCCAAAGAGGTTATTTAAAAAATGCTTTTAAAAGGCTCTGACGATCCCAGCTGAATTGCGCGATCATCAGAGACTTTTTTTTCTTTTAAAAGCATTTTTTCTACAATCTCTTCAGCCGAAGAGGTTTTTAAAAAAATGCTTTTAAAAGGCTCTGACATTCCCTGCTGAATTGCGTGATCATCAGAGGCTTTTTTTTTTCTTTTAAAAGCATTTTTTCTACAACCTCTTCAGCCAAAGGGGTTGTTTAAAAAATGCTTTTAAAAGTAAAAAAAAAGATTGTGCGCCACAGCTGATCACACACACCCCTCGCGCACTGTTCTACTTACCGCATGTCTCGTTTTGCCGTGCACTGCGCGTATGCACCTCGCATTTGGTGCATGGTGCGTACTGCGCATGTACAGCCAGCGAACTGGTAGTAAACCGGTTCAGATTTCACCACTGGAAAAGTGGTTTGGCTCTTTTCATTATAGGAGAAACCAACAGTTCCTTAAGCTGGGACAACCTATCAAAAATCACTTCCAGGTTCACAATGCCAGAGAGAAAATGAGTAAATCAAACCATCAGGACAGAATT